GGAAATGGAGAGACTGAAATTCAGGATATTGTAAGAATCTAATCTTCGCTTTAGTAATCTATGGGAATTGGCCATTACATTTAGTCACAATATGATTTGCATTCTGGGTCTTAGAATAATATTTAAACACATCAATTAAGTTTTGCTACCCAAGGTTTTTGGATATGATTTCAAGAGCCATTTTGATGTTGTGGTTAAGGCATCAGGCTAGAAACTGGGAGGCCCTGAGTTCTAGTCCTGCCTTGACCAGAAAGCCATCTGGGTGACTTTGGTCCAGTCATTCTAAGGCAATGGCAAACCACTTCTGACAAACTTTGCCAAGAAAATTGCAGGGATTTGTCCGGGCAGTCTCTGAGAATCAGACACACAACTGAATGGAACAAAACAAAACAAAACAAAATCCAAGCTTTAGAGTGTAGGTTGTGTAAACTCATGCCTTTGTATGGAAATAATGTTTGGTAGGCTACAAAACTAGCATTTAATAAATAAACCTCAATTGGCTTCTTGAAGGGGCATTGAAATTCCCCTATCTAAATATCGCCTAGCTCACAATGACTATTTTTCATCACACCCTCTCAGTTTAGCCTTGTAAAGGGTAGAGTGCAGTAGTGGGTTTCAAATCCCATCGCTAACGGTTCGCTCGTGGGTGCTTGTGTGCTTGCGTGTGCACGCGACACTTTTGTGCATGCACAGAAGTGTCTGGGTAAGTGGGTGGAGCCTCCCGCCACTGCCGCTAATACCGATTCACTTGATCAGGAGCGAACCAGTAGCAAACCACCACTGGTGCAGTGTAAATGTATAACTTCACTTCACCATTTAGTGTTTTCACAATTAAGGGTTACAGCACCAGGACTTTTAGAAGAGATTCCTAAAAAACTGCAAAAAAAAAAAAAAAAAAAAAGCAATATTGATATGTAGATTTAAATACTGCTTCAAGATTCATATCCATGTTTAATGTTTCATCAAAATGAATAAGTACATCTGGGCATCATTTGTTAAAAAAAATCCATCTTGATCCAAAAATATGTACAAGAGTTACAGGTTCTACTGAAACTGATAGAGAGGCATTGTTGATCTAATGGCCGCTTTTAGTCTCCTTTATGGTGACAGCAATTTCACTTTCTCCAAATGGGAACTAATGAAATCACATTGTACTTTATGGTTCTATGAAGTACTTGCCCTTCTTAATTCTAAACAGACATTACTGTCCGTTGCTGCTAAGAACTACCACTCCTTTCACGGAAGTGTAGATGATAATGAACCATTAACCTAAGCAAATAGGAAAGCAGGCTCTGTAACTACTGAAAATTGGATGAAAGATTAAAGTTGGGGGTGGAAACTTTGCGGTTTTCCTGGAATGCGATCCATGGATCAAATCCTATTTGACTATCTGATGATTGGAACTAGTTGGGGAATTCTTTGTAGGTTCCATTCTTAACTCTCTTATCCTATTCAACTTCAGATTTTCTTTTAGACTTTAGTCCTAAATCTAAATAGAAAAATAGGTTGAAGATTTAGAACTTAGAACTAAGGAGAAATTTCCTGACAGTTAGAACAATTAATCAGTGGAACAACTTGCCTGCAGAAGTTGTGAATGCTCCAACACTGGAAATTTTTAAGAAGATGATGGATAACCATTTGTCTGAAGTGGTGTGGGGTTTCCTGCCTGGGCAAAGGGTTGGACCTCCAAGGTCCCTTCCAACTCTTGTTATTCTATTCTATTTAGGAGCAAGTTCCAATATACTCAAAATTTGCTCTTAGGTAAACAAAGAATGCATTCATCAAAAGGCCTGTTTTTCAATTATCACCATGAACCTCACCATCAGATTCATCTCCTCCATACTGTATCTTTTTCTACTTCTTTTGGATTGACCTCCAGTGGAATACAGTGCTTTACAAATTGTGGATAGTAATTTCAGTTCTTAAGCATCACAACAGAGGGTGTAGAAGGACTCGCCACAGCCAACTCGCCATGGCTAATTTGCCACACGACAACTCCCCACAGCTAACTCACTCCAGGACAATTCGCCATGAGACAATTCAATGCTGTATTAATCATTTCATTCCAGTACTTTTATTATTGGCGATGTTTTCATCTTGATTATTGTAACCCTTTTATTTCTGGATTGACTTTCTTTATTATGATTGACAATGGTTCCATTGAAATTAATTTAACTTTTTTATTTGTCGAATTGTCCTGCAGCTAGTTGTTCCGGCAATGAGTTGGCCATGGCTAGTTGGTCATGGCAAGTTGACTGTGGCAAGTTGTCCTATTCCATACAACAGAGAACTAGACCTGACATAGGAACCGCAGGACAGTATAAATAGGCAACTCAGATTGTAATTTTAAGTAACAGCAGAATAAAGGGAGTATGAAGGCTTCAACTGCAGCTTCCTTCATGATGCTATCACCCCCTTTTATGGATTTTTTTTTCTTCTTAAAAAAAAGCAATCATACTCAATAACACATTGCCAATTAATTAGGACTGCCCTCGTAGCTACATTTTAATAGTTAGAATAAAACAGGAATTAGAAAGAGGATAATGCTGAAATAGTAAAAAATTAAACATGCCATGGCCTGAGCAGTTCAAATAATCTCATGCATTTTAGGAACTGTTCCTTTTTTTCTCAATCTGCATTTTGCTAGAAAAATCAGATGGTAAAACTTATTTAGTGTAAATGACTTACAGTCTTTTTTTTTTAAGGGTTGGGGGGCAGGGGTGAAATCTACTTACCTTCCCAACCAGTTCGGAAGTGCATGTGTCGCATGTGTGATGCTTTTCTCGCTTGTGTGTGTGTGTCACATGCGCACTTGGACCCTCTGCGCATGTGCAAACCCTTCTGTGCATGCGCAGAGGGTAAAATACAGGTTACTTCCTGGTTAAAACCAAGAAGTGACGATGACTGGGCGGATGGGCAGAGCCTTGCACCGCCATCGCTACCGGTTCTCTGAACCACCGGCCGCCATCGCTACCAGTTTAGCCGAACCAGTCTGAACTGGGAGCATTTCACCCCTGGGTGGAAGGCTATGATAAATGAAATGAATTTATTTAAATATAGTAAATAAATAACCCATGAAGACCAGTAAATATTTGAGCTGCTATGTAGACGGGGGAAGTTTGATGCGTGAAGATGCTAAAAGCCTGGCATACTATTTGTGCTGCTTCGGCAATTTATACTGTGATTTCTAAGATGCTTGATAATATAAATGGTTTGTAGTTATTCCACATTGTGATTGACAGTAAAATGAAGTCTTCTGCTTAGCCCTTATTAATTTCTATTAGGATGGTTTATTTTGGGGGGCGGAGGAGGGGGTGCCTTCTTCCGATTCCATGGGAACATAAATAGATATCATTAACAACGAAAATACAATATCTTTATTTTCTAGGCAGAAGGCACGTATTAAATGGTTGTCACTCTGAAGCATCTTTATTTGCTTGAAAAGAAAGGGTGTGTGTATGTGAGAGATACACAGAGACGGAAGGGGAGATGAGAGACACATTTCACTACTATTTAAGATCCCCCCCCCAAAATGTTTTTCTTACTCATTTTCTTTTCTCCTTGCCAGCCTTCTTGTTTCTTCATCTATGACCCCTTCTTCACATCTTTACCTCAGGTAATCAAACCTGTCTTTGAATTAATCCTATTCTGTCTTCGTTTCAGTAGGCTACCTTGATTTTGGTCCCAATCTATTTCTTTTACTGAGATTTGATCCCTCACTACCAGACTTGAGGTCAATCAAAGAGATGCATCTCTTCCCCTCCAAATATTCATACAGCCAGCTTGAAAATATGTTCAGGCATCCTGGAGAAAACCACCCCTGCCTTCAACCATCATGTGATAGATAGATAGATAGATAGATAGATAGATAGATAGATAGATAGAAGATAGAAGATAGATAGATAGAATTCTTTATTGGCCAAGTGTGATTGGACACACAAGGAATTTGTCTTTGGTGCAGATGCTTTCAGTGTGCATAAAAAGACAAGATACACTTGTCAAGAATCACAAGGCACAACACCCAGTGACAGTCATATGTACAATAAGCAATCAAATCATACTAGGAAACAATCAATATCAATATAAATCACAAGGATATAAGCAACAAGTTACAGTCATGCAGTCACAAGTGGGAGGAGATGGGCGACAGGAATGATGAGAAGACCAATAGCAATAGTAATGCAGTGAATAGTTTGACAGTGTTGTGGAAATTATTTGTTTAGCAGAGTGATGGCATTTGGGAAAAATCTGTTCTTGTGTCTAGTTGTTCTGGTGAGCAGTGCTCTATAGCATCGTTTTGAGGGTAGGAGTTGAAACAATTTATGTCCAGGATGTGAGGGGTCTGTAAATATTTTCACAGCCCTCTTTTTGACTCATGCAATATACAGATCCTCAATGGAAGGCAGGTTGGTAGTAATTGTTTTTTCTGCAGTTCCAATTATCCTCTGAAGTCTGTGTCTGTCTTGTTGGGTTGCAGAACCAAACCAGACAGTTATAGTTATAGTCCTACACACACACAAAGTCACTTGAAGTAAGAATCTTCCAGCAAGATAGGCCTAACAAAGTTTTAATTTTATACGTGCTCAACTACATATTACACATAGCAAACCAAAAATGTGAATAAGTACCAAGATAAGTTGAGGAGGCCCACTCAGTGGTCTCTTATTGGTCAATGGCTAAAAGTTCTGCCTGTCTTGTCTGTCAAACAAACCATATCAACAAAATCCAATCCCAAAATACTCATGCTCATAGACTTTTCCTTGACTGTAATATGCTAACCACATGAAATCAATAATCCTCCTTTGACAGAATCAGAGCTAACTATATCCTTGTCCTTCTTAGCTCATTCTAAAGGCAGAAAGTGAATTAGGGGTCAGCTCCTTTTCTTAGCTGACTTGTAGCATGTCAAAACATTCACAGGACACAATTATTGAGGAAACAGTTCAAATAAATAAATATGTGTTATCAGTCTCATTGGAGGATTAAAAATATTGACTTACCCGTCCAACTAATATAGGTTCAGGTCCGGAAAATTCTTCTAACACAAACATTTGATTCCATACCCAGCCTCTCTTCGAACGGTTCAACACTCTTTGTTCTTCATTGAGTTCACTTAGTCCTCTACTGGACCTACTGGGTAGTACTTGAGAATGATTGATTGGAGCCATGTATATAGATGGAAATGCAGTAATCCATAATATTACTAACGGAGCCCATGTATCCATAAGCATTTCTGCTAGTCCTTCTGGCATTGTTCCACACACTAAGCAAATCACCACTGAAGAAGACAAGACACAATTATTCTGCTTCCTTCCAGATTGTAGTCATCCGATTCATCCTGCAGCAACGAAGATTTACTTAGTGTTCCATCGTGTTTTTAGACCAATTTAAACATAAAGAGAGAATGCTTAGGCGGTAGAAACACCCTCCATTGGAATTTATTATCTTCAAAGAGGCCTAAAAAATTCAGAGAGAAATAACTGGAGTTAGCAATACAGTAAAATGATTGGGAATGTGTGACTTGGGTTTTTTTTCAGATCTGTAGATTCTAATTTTGTACATTCTATTTTAACAATCCCGTTTAAAAAATTCATTTCCAGGTATTTTGGGAAATAAGTATTTGCATCTTTGAAGCAAAATGGAAGCCATTTAATAATTTCTTTGGGTAGGGAAACTTTTCCTTCCTTCCCACCAATCAATATGCACTACCAATTCTTTTTAAATGTTTTTAGAATAGAATAGAATAGAATAGAATAGAATAGAATAGAATAGAATAGAATAGAATTATTTATTGGCCAAGTGTGATTGGACACACAAGGAATTTGTATCCGTGCATAGGCTCTCAGACTACATAAAAGGAAAGATACATTCATCAAGAATCATAATTTACAACAGTTTTAAAATTTTATTGCTGAATTCACGCACTCCTCTACTGGCATTTGCACAATCCTCAAAAATAATTTGTTCAATGGTGTTGAACCCAAGTTTCCGATTGTAACGATGATGCTAATGAGGATTTATATTGTTGTTATTTTTGTTTAATGCAACTAAGTACAAAAGTTACTGGTCCTTGTAAAAATGGTGATAGCGATGGTAGTGATGATATTAATAATTTTAACAACAAAAAATGTTCATTCTGGAGCACCCCTTGAACACCATCAATATTGAAAAAAAAATCACTCTCAATCAATTGTAAAAGGCAGCTTTACTGGAACAGCTTATATCCTTCAAGGATAGTTTTAACACTATCAAACAACATCTGCCTCTCCTATAACATTTATATTTTATTGTGTTTTACTAATCTAGGTGGAATGTTAATATATATATTGCTAGTCCATGTATGATATGCCATACGCTAAGAAGTAAATAAACGCCGCTCCTAAATCCTTGAGAAGGACTCAATTGGCAAGTAAAATGCTAGATCCAGTCAAAATATCTGGCTGACTAAGCAACCAACCACAGTAATAATAAACCACGAGCTTTTCTAAATAAATTATTCTGAAACAAAAACTGCTGGTGACATGATCAATAAGGCATTGTCCGACTGAATTGTGACTATGGAAAAATATTTAACAGGACTTCTCTTAAACTGGCAATATGGAGGAAAGAATACATGGAACAGGCTATTAATTATATTTTAGTGCAGCAAATAAAGTCTCTGTGTCTCATTTTGTATGTGGAGACTATTCTGCAGTTATGTCTTTTCCCACCATATGCTTAAGAAGAATTAATCGATTCTTCCTATCAGAAAGAACATAGAATTTTGTGGAGGATTTCTGCAGTGGATTTTTAAGGGTTTCTAAAAATTAAAAAAAGATGGGGTGGGGAAAGAAAAATATCTGCCTGTGTTGTTTTGTTATTCTCCTCTGTTTTCTTGTTCTTCTATTTTTGTGTTATTTGAGTACTAACTGGTTACTTTCTTTGCTGAGCTCTGCTGACCAGTTTTAAAAGATACGATTTCTGATCTCTTCTAACAGAGAAAGAGAGGGAGGGAGGGAGGGAGGGAGAGAGAGAGAGAGAGAGATTTGCATCTCAGATTAGAAGCGATTAGGATCATTATTCATAATAAACTATGGTTCAGTTATTCATACCAGAAAATCGATTCCACTTTATATTTTCTCTTCTTCTCTCCCCCCTTTTTTATCTCTGCACTTTTTTGATTTTTTAAAAATTTATTCTTAGTTTTTATTCATTTTTATTTCTCTATGTTTAAACCTCAATAAGACTACTATTTAAAAAGTTACCAGAAAATTAATTCCGCTCCATCAGCCACTATTTGGCATCTGAATGAGGCACGTTGGCCTCCATGTTTTAATAGTTGCAAATACAAATGCTGGAAGCCAGAAAACTTTTGCTACCCTTGAATTTTTTGTCAACAGCCTTCAATTAAATTAAGATTGTGTGGGGGGGAAAAAAAACATCTGCTCTCCAATTCCAGAATGTATTCATTCAATTCTTATTCTTTGAGAGTTTCAGAATCCCAGTAATATTTTGTTGACCTTACCTGTGCCCACACTCCCAACTCAACTCAACTCAACTCAACTCAACTCAACTCAACTCAACTCAACTCAACTCAACTTACTTAACCATGTCTGTCTGAATGTCTCTGCCTGCTGCCTTCCTGCCTATGTCTCTATGTCTCTATCATCTATCTCTCTATCATCTCTCTATCATCTATCTGTATCATCCATCCATCCACCCATCCAATTTATCCAATCTATCCTGTAATCCTAAGTATCCATAACCAAATCCAGAGGTGGGTTTCACATAATTTACCACCGATTCACCGTGCACCGAAAATGTGAGCCTGTGTGCCTTCTGCGCATGCTTGCAGCCTTCCATGCATGAGCTTTGCCCGCTCACACAGCTTGCTTGCATGCATGCGCGCGGCTTAGAAAACATAGCTAGATAAGATGGCATAGAGCCGGGGCAGGTGGGCGGGCCCACCTGCAGGTCGGCTGAATACCACCACTGACCAAATCTAAGGGTAACATGCACAACAAAACTGTTTTTGCAGTACTAGCTGGTTTTGGGAGCATCCCATCTCTAGGGAAGGGATTGCATAAAGTGAGAAGGCCTATCCGTGTCTTTTCATCTGTTAACATCCCTTGACATCACTCTCACATCTTCTGAGCTGTCCTTCTTCCAGTTTGAAAATTACCATTATTATTTTTTTTTCCCCTTTGTGATGTTTTTAACTGGGGGTTTAATTGCAGTGTAAAGACACATGAAAGATGGTTTTGCTGAGAAGCAAGAAATCCCTCGCAACACTTTCAATCACTTTGTAAGCGAGGTAAGAGCATGGCTCTACACATCCCGTCATAGAAATAGGATCAAAATGTTCTCCTTTGTTCTCCTCATGTTTCCCCTCAGTCAAATTAAGAATGATGAAAAAGCTGACACAGAAACTGTATTTTTAACACTTGCGCAACAACTCTGGGTATTTCGTTGGCACCTGACAAATGTCGGCACAAACCTTACTAGAAAACTGAAAATGTTGTGACTTAAATTTAGTTGCCATATTCAAGAATATAGTGCGGTATTCCATTTTTGTGTTAGCACAACGAAGGAAGAGAAAGGGAATTAGCTGAGTAGAAGTGCTATTTTTGCAAACATGATGTGTCTGTTCAGGTGCTTTTAAAGGCCCACATGCATCCATATTATACACACAAACCGCATTTGACAGGAGATTTAGACTTCTTTCTCTCTCAACTCAGAAGTGTTCAATTAAGTTTCCATTGAGCCATCACTAATGCATCAAGATTCATTAGCCACAATTGTATCCAGCCTTGGAATAGCTCTGTAGGAATTGCTAGTATTGCCAGACTCACAAAAAGCAGCGTCAACCACAACAGAGAGAAGAAACAACAGCCACGATTTAAATGGATTTTACATTAAACCTAACTTGATTCTTGAGTTATTTTAGGCGCGCACGAACCATAAAATGGATCAGTAGAGGGTTATCATCACCACAAGACAGCGTCTGGATGCTGGCTTGTTTTGATGCCAAGAAACCCATTTGGCTGAAATGTTCTTGGTTCATTTATTTTATAAACTCTGCTTTTCCTGTATTTCAGGCACACAACAAACAATAACGGCCATATGCAAGAGGGAGTGATATCTCCTCAGATAACAATAGTAAGGAGATTCTGAAATGTGGTCCCTGTAGACGGAAGTAACAGGTGTTTGTTTTTTCTGGTAGCAAAAGCAAGAGTCCCTAGTATGTGGAAATGGGTTTGTTATTAGAAATTATCAGGAACCTGAAAATTAATTCAGTAGATGACAGGCAACTCTGTTGACAGATATAAAGAAATATATCACCCTAATGCAAGGGTGAAATCCAGCAGGATCTGACAGTGTCTGGAGAACCGGTAGTGGAAATTTTGAATAGTTCGGAGAACCGGCAAATACCACCTCTGGCTGGCCCCAGAGTTGGGTGGGGATGGAGATTTTGCAATATCCTTCCCCCAGGAGTGGTGAGGGAATTGAAATTTTGCAGTATCCTTCCCCTGCCACACCCACCAAGCCACACCATGCCCACCAAGTCATGCCCACAGAACCGGTAGTAACAAAAAATCAGATTTCACCGTTGCCCTAATGGTTATAGAGTTCCGTTATAAAAACCAATTCGGTAGGATCACATGGGAAGAAAAGGCATTTATAGAAAAGGAGTATCCAATTTGTAATTAGAGCAGGGGTGTCAAATTCAGGTCTGGCTTAGATCTGGCCCACGGGGCTGCCTTGGAAACAGCGAAGGACTGGCCCGCAGTGCTTCTGCCAGTGAAAACGGAGCTCGGGAGGGCAACACGCCTCCTGAGCTCCGTTTTCACTGGGAGAGGTTGCAGGAGGCAGTGGCAGCCAAAAAGGGAGCTCAGAAGCCCGTTTGCGCTTAAGCCACCACAGACACCTCCGACAAGAGTGATGTTGAGCTGGCCATGCCCCCCTGCCTCCCTCCCCCGAGGTCAAACACAACTCAGATGTGGCCCTCAATGAAATCAAGTTTGACACCCCTGAATTAGAGGGAAGAATTATGAGGTGTCACTGACTGTCCTACCTCTTCTTAGAATACTACCCTAGATGATGTCCTGTTCTGATCTCAGTAGGATCATCTCCTAAACTCCTGAATAAAGAGGAGAGATTTTCCAGTTAGATGTCAACATTTAAAGATCATATCATGCATCTTATCTCTTCCATGCTTGTGCATAAATCTCAAATTATGAATGCATAAGTGATAGTGTAGAACATTTCTTATTTAGAAATAATCCCATAAAAGCAAAGGGCTCCCATTCATATATAGGCTTCTGCTGTAAGATCAAATCTATCAGGTGGGAATTATGAAGCTATTTCTGTATTTGCTTCATTGAAGTAGTTGTTCTCTTGAAATCAATGAGATTTAAATCTACATAACATGCTTAGGGTATAAGCACAAGGATGAAATATGATTAAATGTACTTGCATATATCACCTAATTGATTTTTCCAGGTTAAGACAATGCATATGATCATATAAAATGCACTTAAGTGCATTGATCTTTATGGTGTAATATACAAACAATGCAGTTTTGTACTTAGGGGCTGAGTGATGCATTTAAAAACGTCATTATTAACTTCCTTTGGAGTATTTCAGAAACTCACTGCATAAAAGGAAGAACTGCACACACAAAAAAATCTTAAGGACAAATAAAGTAATTTTTAAGATGTGTAATGAGCAACCCCTTTTAATAAATAGCTACAAAATCCTTTTTAAAGCTGTCTTAAACAACAATCTGCCCTTTTTATCAAAAAAACGTTCATCACATATTTGCACATTGATTTGCATTGTAATCCCCAGGATTGCACATTTTTACAACATCTTGGGAGTGGGAACCTGTTTACAAATAACACTTCCTTTAGGGGTAATCCATTGTTAATTCCATTTCACATTCATTGCTGCCTTGTTGATCATTGTGATTACAAGTTATAGATAAGTCCTCTGACCTCAACAATTCATTAAGGTGCGTTCGATCGATTCCCAGACATTTGTTGTTACATTTCTAATGCTGCGGTATTGATTTTATTGAAATAAATTACACTGCCAAGGGTAAACAATTAAAAACTTTGTTTGATAGCTCCTTTGGTATGGAGCTAGGACAGAAGCAATGTTTGAGAAGATCACCAGTAAGCAGAGATGGGTTTCAGCAGATTCTGACCAGTTCTGGAGAACCGGTAACGGAAATTTTGAGTCGTTCAGAGAACCGGTAGCAGAAATTTTGAGTAGTTCGGAAAACCGGTAAATACCACCTCGTCCCCATCTATTCTCTGTCTCCCAAGTCCCAGCTGATCGGGAGGAAATGGAGATTTTGCAGTAACCTTCCCTGGAATGAGATGGGAATGGAGATTTTACAGTATCCTTCCACGCCCACCAAGCCACACCCACCAAGCCATGCCATACCCACCAAGCCACACCCACAGAACCAGTAGTAAAAAATTTTGAAACCCACCACTGCCAGTAAGGAGTAGTCAACTATCAGCTTGGCATCATTCAAGGTAGGGGAAGCAAGTCAAGAGGAGGAACAATCATTCCAGGTAGATTCCTTTATTCTTACTTAAATTCAATCCCTGGTTTTTATTTATTTTTGCTTTGTAAAGAGTTGAGTGTAAGGATTAAGACATCAGGGTAAAAACCAGGAAACCATAGTTTTGCCTTAGGCACAAAGCCGGCTGGGTGATCTTGTGCCTGTCATATTCTCTCAGTTCTTGGAAGGGGGCAATGGAAAACCACATGCAAAAAACCTTACCAAGATAACTGCAGAGACTAATTCATCTTTGGAGTAAAAATTTGATGTGAAGGCATGCATGCACAAGCACGCACACACACACACACACACACCTCCTGAGTTTAGCTTGATTTCTGGGAGTTAGAGAAATAAATCCATGTAGTTTTGTTGGCAATAATACAGATATAATTTATCATTACCTAATCCCATGATTGAACTATGGTACTGGAGAAGACTCCCGAGAGTCCCTTGGACTGCAAGGTGATCAAACCGGTCAGTCCTAGAGGAGATCAACCCTGACTGCTCTTTAGAAGGCCAGATCCTGAAGAGGAAACTGAAATACTTTGGCCACCTAATGAGAAGGAAGGACTCCCTGGAGAAGAGCCTAAGAGCTGGGAAAGACTGAGGGCAAAAGAAGAATGGGACGACAGAGAATGAGGTGGCTGGATGGAGTCACTGAAGCAGTCGGCGTGAGCTTAAATGGACTCCAGAGGATGATAGAGGACAGGAAGGCCTGGAGGAACGTTGTCCATGGGATCGCAATGGGTCGGACACGACTTCGCAACTAACAACCACAACAATTCCCATGATATAGAAGTAGTCCTGGACTTAACAACAGTTCCTTCAGTGACCATTCAAAGTTACAACGGCACTGGAAAAAAAAAAGACTTATGACCATTTTTCACACTTAACAACCGTTGCAGCATCTCCATGGTCACATGATCAAAATTTAGAACTCTTGTCAACCGATTCATATTTATGATGGTTGCAGTGTCCCTGGGGTCATGTTGGTTTATCTTTTGCGACCTTCTGACAAGCCAGGTCAACGGGGAAACCAAATTCACTTAACAATGATGTTACTGACTTCACAACTGCAGTGATTCACTTAACAACTGTGGCAAGGAAGGTCGTAAAGTGGGGCAACATTCACTGAACAGCTGTCTCACTTTGCAACAGAAATTTTGGGCTCAGTTGTGGTCGTAAGTCAAGGACTACCCACATTTCTAAATACCTTATGCCTATGGTGTGGAATGTCCTGATATTCTGAGTCTTTCACATCCTTTAACATTGGTTAACACATGCATCCACATGCTTTAACACTACAAAGAATTAAAATATAATCTACAGCTTTGATGGTGACCCACCAGATATCACTGAACAAAAAATGCATGTCAAGATTTGTTATTCAGCAAACCATTTACTTCCTAGGTATAATCAGTATTCCTTGCAGCAGGGGTGAATTCTCCTTAAGTGTTTTAATTTGTACTAACTGTGCAAACTAAAATATAAAGTGCCCAAATTAAAATCTATGTGAAGCCTAAAACAAAGGGGCGGGGAGGGAGAAGTTGCATATCATATTTTCACATTTGAGAAAGCAATATTCTTTTTAAAAAATCATTCTTAAAATAATAATAACAATCTAGGAAGGGAAAGAAATTTGCATATTCTTCATTATAATATAATTCAGTCTGGTTTGCATTCTGGAATTAATATCCAAACTGGGATTTGAGTTCCCAAACTGAGTAACACAGTTGTACAATGTAAAATGTATGCTGAATGCATGGCTTAAGAAATCAGAGTCCAGAATGGCCAGAGAAGCGAAAATTGCTGATTTTTCCACCACCATCACAAAATTATGACTATTAGAAAAAATTTACATTAAAACAGTGAATTGTTTCTGCATGTAAACTTGGAAATGCGTGAGAATTTGCACTTAATATTTTTATAATAGCAGTGAACTGGTACAGAATTACACATATGTGTTTGGGCTAGAATGCAATATAAATAGGCAATATAAGTAGCTATAAATTTTTATAGTTTATTCATCTTTGTATTACCTTGTTTATAAGCAATGTTGGAGATTCCTTTAAATAGTCTGGTCTCTAAGCATTAGTGCTGGCAAGTCAGTGTCATTGTCTTCATCCTTATTTTCTCTGTTTTGAATTTTTTTTAAAAAAATATTTTTTAAAACACTGAAGCTGCCTGAAATGCCTGAATGAATATCTTTGTGGTCTTCTACAGTATGTACTGTATAAACAGATCAAAATTTATATACCTAAGACCCAAATGAATACATTATGCTGAAAAAAATAGAATTAAGGTCAGATAACAATCCTTTTCCATGTGTTTACTGAACATCTGCCAAATTAAGCCTGGCATTTCAAAAAATAAGTACTTTTAAAAGTTAAAAAAGAAAGAAAACAGACAAACAAGAGAAGAGAGAAAAAAGAATAAAGCACAACATCAGTAAAGAGGGAATTCACAAGCATCATAAAATTAGGTTAGTTTTTTTCAATATTCATAGATTAGTCTTATGGCGACTGAAAATGTATTGCTTTGTAAACTAAAGATAAGGTTAAAATGTAAATAATATATGGATATCCACAGTATAAGTAGCAAAGTAAGATTAAGCATATCACAGCAGTGGTGAAATCCAAATTTTTTTACTACTGGTTCTGTGGGCGTGGCTTGGTGGGCGTGGTGTGGCTTGATGGGCATGGCAGGGGAAGGATACTGCAAAATCCCCATTCCCACCCCATTCCAGAGGAAGGATACTGCAAAATCCCCATTCCCTCTCCACTTCTGGGGGAAGGATATTGCAAAATCTCCATTTCCATCCCACTCTGGGGCCAGCCAGAGGTGGTATTTGCCGGTTCTCCGAACTGCTCAAAATTTCCGCTACCAGTTCTCCAGAACCTGTCAGAACCTGCTGGATTTCACCCCTGTATCACGGTATATTTTACCTAAGAGGCTGAAAATCTATCTTCATGTAATGAATCCTTGAGAGCTTGAATATTATTGACTAATTAATAAAGATGGCATTGCCAGTGCTTCAGAAGCAAGTTCATTTATTGTAAAGAAGTACTTTATGTGGTATCTTCTGGAGCAGGTAATGATTAAAAGATATCAAACAGGTCTAGGTAGGTAAAATACATAAGGGGTCACACATCACACCATTTCAAACCTCAGTACGGTTAAGTATAATGAGTTGGTACATTTAGGTGCCAGTAATCAAATGTTGAGGTAG